GCGCTCTTCGGCGGACCGAAAGCGAACTCCACAGCGAACCGTGCGCGAACATCTGGCGAACACTTAAAAAGGTCGCGGCTTGTACGCGGGGAGTTCACCACGACGCACAGAAAACGATCTAAAAGCGAACAAATCTTTTTGCGTCGGGATGTAACAACTAATACTCCAAAAACAAGAGTGCGTGGCAGTCAAACACTATTTTTTTCGCAGGGCTTCCACCAGCTCCGAAATGCAACGTTAGACTTGTCATCCTTTGAAAAAGAAGGATTTCACTTGCCTTGGGAAAGGTATATTTGGAAAGTCCACCTCCGAGTGTTAAATGAAATGGACCAGATCGCTCTGTGCTTTAATGGAACGTTTGAAGTTCGTCGTGTTTTGGTGAGGAAAGAGAGCTAGTAAAGGGACGGAAACTGTTCCTTTTGTTGTAAAAATTATACCAAAATTTTCTGGAACAATGTTGTTGTAATCTTGAGGCGATGTTTTTCTGACCTGACCTACACTTTCCACATACATATCATGGCAGCAGCTGTGGTGAAGTTACTGATTCGGTACATTTCATCCGATGCGATTCTTCCAGTGCCACCTGTCAGTGTCCCGCCTGTTGCACTGCTGTGCACTGACTCAGGGCTGGACGCAGCTGTTGCCTGCTTGTGGTTGTGAGTTACATGCAGGTGGTGTAGCCTGCCCCTTCAAATCATTCCTCAGCTTGTCCTAGCCCACAGAAACATGAAGCTCTAGGCTGATCCTACAGCTCCAGATTTTCGGCTTACTCTGTGAGAGGCGAGGCAGGCAGACGGGGCGCGGATTGGTTGGGCGACTTGCAGTTTATAGCCAACTGCACACGTAAGTTATTCTGTCGTCTTCAAAAGGCATCTGAAGGTAAGCGGCTTCACTTCAACTTCAATGAGGGTTAGGACGTCAGTTCACATGAACTTGAATCACCGGTAACTTCGGTGTGAGGTCAGTCCGCGAACGGACCATCCCCTGCGCCCCAGCTAGCGCTGGACACGTCCGTGGTTTCGCGGTGGAACCTGCACTGTTTCTCTGTTCGCCTCTGCTCTGTTTAGCTCGGCTAGCAGGCAGGTCCCCCACTAATCACCATCGCCTAGCGGTGGTATTCCAGGCTACATCTCCAGCGAGGTGTGGTAGTCACGCTAGCTCGCTGGTGTTGAAGGTAAGCGGCGACGCATACCTATTTAAACCACACTCGAGCGCCAATATATTAATAGTGTTCCTGATTATGCTCTAAGACCCGTTCCAAATGGTATACAAGAGTGACTTAGAGCCGACGAGTCACTTTGCTATACTATTACCGTCTTGCGTCTTGTGTGTAGAAAAACAATTCTTGTTAACTGCGAAACGAACCCACGGTTTAGGAAATGTGGCCTTTGTGTATGCATCTTTTTGGATGATATATTTGTTTATTAGGGACCTTTATGTTAGGGGGCAGACTTATGTAACGAAGAGTTTTGGAAAATGGTCAGTACAGAAAAACCACTCACTGCATCGATCTAAGACAAAAAGCCCTAAATTTAAGGCTTAAAGGTCAACCACTAACGGCATCTTTTAAGAGTAAATAGAAGTCTTTTTGACAGTCGCGGACCCATCCGATTCAGAATAATCCTTCACACCGAAAAGGACTGCAATCGTCCAGTTGGTGGCGAAGATGGGCTTGTTCCTGAAGGCACACCGGCGCCAACGGCAATTTTAGCGTCCATCTATGCTTTTAATACACCTTTAGTCTTAAATAGATGCAGTTTTTAAGTAGTGACGATTTTTTTTTCGCATGAGCGGCGCGCACGTGGAGCCGGCTACTCAGGGTGTTCATGTGACCGTTACCCAGATGCGGCCGAAAATACATCAGGTAGTGTTAAACCAAGTTGCTCCTCCCCCCTGTCTGGTAGAAACGGGTCTGTTAAAAAGCATAAGGGTGCCAACGCCGAACCTTGGCGTTGGAAACCTGGGTGGGTAGAGGTGTGCGAATCACCCTTTTTCAGAGTCGAATCGAATCGAATCTGGTTTTTATTTCCTCGAATCGAATCGAATCTTAAAATTTTACCCCGAATTGAATCGAATCTTACTATTTCGAATGCGAATCGAATCGAATCATTTCGTAACATTCTAAGAGATGCTATAAACCATTAAAATGGAGCAGCCAATAAGTGTTGGGGCTCAGCTCAGATTCTCTCTAAAAACAGAGAAATTGGCAAACCACCCTCTAATCCTATGAAAAACTTTCCCCTTTAGTATAAGTTACCCAGCGTGCGCCCCATGTGCACATGTCGTTTCGATTTCGAAATTCAAAATTTTGCTGCGTCCGAATTGTTCGAGTTCGAAGTGCCTTGTTTCGAAACGAATCGAATCGAGACAGTTTCGATTCGATTCGAACTGTTCGCACACTTCTATGGGTGGGATAGGGGCGAGGAAAGAGGCTGTGGAGGTGGGGGAGGGGAGGGGGGAGGTGCAGTAAGGGAGGTAGAAGTGGCTCTCCTCCGATAATCGGTACTAGCTACAGGCCTGATTTTTATTCTTTTCACAAGAAAACTGAATCGTTGTTTTTTTTTTTGCATACACCCCTCCCCCCGCCCTCTCAGTGCAAGCGAGATGGCACATCTCTATTCATATTTAGTTTCGGTGTGAATCGGATTCGAAGTGCAGAGTTCACACGCAGGTCGGGAGGACGGGTGGACACACTACATCGGCAGGTCAACCCTTATAACGCACCGGAACACACCCTGCTGATGGGTTACACAATGACTGAATGGCATTGTCTCGAAAGCCTTTGCTCGCCGCTCTGCCAGAATATAGGGAATGGACTCTACCAGTGTACATACCGCTAGTCCTGACCACAACCTGAGTGTAACGGAGTAGTCCCGAACGCGACCCGAGAGCGGCGCAGACAACAGGGCCAGTTGCACTTCACTGGCAATGCAGCACCACTTGAAAAATGCTCTTGTTTTAAGTGCACGTGGTATAGTAACAAAAAGAAAAACAAAACCAAATTTTTAAGAATTTTTTTTACACCTGATTCAAGGAACAATTTTTCAGGGTGCAGATGTTAAGTAAATTACTGCGAAACAACGTTCATTTTGCGTCGTTTTTAAATTGATCCATAAGGTGGTAACAAGGTTGCTTTTATTTTGCTTGCAAGTGTACGACATTCGTTTTTGAGCATGCCTCCTCGTTTTCGTTTCTCGAAACTCTGGACGGTGTTCCTTATCTACATTTAATGATTCCCCAGCACGATGTTGTTGCCAGCCAGGTGCTCAGTGAAATGGTTTCATGGACACTTGTGCGGCCAAACCTGTCCAAACATGACGTTCTGTTGGGTCCGGGTGCTAATGTTACTCCTCGCTGCTCATTTTATGGAAGTAAGTAACAAAGGAAATGTTGAAGACGTTGGGGTTGAACTAAACACTGGCGTAACGAATTTGAGCACCGAATGATGTGAGTACTTTTCAATGCAAACTGGAGTGCAAACATTGGACATTTGACTGAAATTAATCTTGCCCAAGGTTTTCTTTCTGCACACTGACGAAGTGTATACAATTTAGTTAAATATCATGAAAAGTGCAAATTTTTATTCGGTCACTTTGGCCTGGATGATTCAACCAGGAATCGAATCGATACATATAGCAAAATATTTGGTAGTATACAGTTGATAGAACGACACCTTAAACTAAAACGCACGCAGTCGAGTTGCCGGTTTCAAAACCCACGGAGCTCAGAAGTGCCTTTCGATATCCGTCAGAACTTCACAAATAATTCGTTGTGAAAAAAGCCGCTAGAGCTCTTCGTGATTTTTCGGGAAAATCTCAATGTTCCTTCATTGGAAAAAAATAATGAACTTTATACAGTTCTAGAACTAGACTACAGCTTTATGAATTTTAAATAAAAATTATCGGTTTTTTACTATAAAGAAGTGCTGGGATTTCATATTTGCCCCGTGCGGGGCAATAAGTATTGGGGAATCACAAAATATTTTTAACAATGTAACGTCAGCACCCTAAGCAGCAGGCGCGTTGCAGCGTAACAGTGCTGCGGGAACCCTGTTATTAAATGCATGGTCTGGCATGCATCTTCTTTGCCTTGAAGGCAAAGGATTCTAAACTCTGGTTTGATTTTTTACTCGTTGAATGTAATGAGCATCGCGTTGAGTTGACATTTGACCCTGTTTCTAGTGCGCCAACGTCACGCAAGCGCAGGTCAACGAAGTGTACGACCGAACCGCCACGTGCCTCGTCAACTTGCCGAATCTCCCGAAACATGCCGTCAATCCGTGGGTCATTTGCGACTTTAGAGGAACAGAAGCTCTAGGAAACGAGAAAAATGACATAAAAGATGTACCTGGTGTGGTAGTTGCTTGTCTTAATGAATATGGCTATAGCAAGAAAGACGTCACCGAGGCAAAGAAATGCCTTAAGAAGGCGCTAGCAAAGCCTCTGTAATATTTACAAACCTCACATGGTTTTAATATAAATAAACATATAAACTTTAAACAGCGAGGGTACTCTGAAGATTTGCTGTTATTAAGTCAAAATAAAGTACACATTTCTCCTTTCCTTCTAAGATCCTTCAAAAATCACAAAAATTTACACGCACTGTTAATACTGTATAATAAAAAAGCAATAATTGCTTTGCAATACAAAGAATTTGCTTTGTAGTTTGCAAATCATCCGATTATCTGATACGCGCCCGCAACCCGTAGAAACGTCAGTATCCTGAGAGGTGTGCCTGTCAGCTTGGAGGAACGGCTAGTTCAAATTATATTGGCTGAGCAAGCCTATTACTCCAGTGAATAAAAGGTTTCGAGTATGTCTTAGTGTGTGTTTGTGTGTCTGTCTGTAATCACGATAACTCGAGAACGGCCCGTGAAACTAGAACTATACAAGTGTATGTATGCTGCACGTATGTCATGTCTAGTGCGTTTCTATACCACTTTGTGGTAATTCAGAAAGCTGGTATGGAAATGTTTTTGAAAAGGTTAAAAATTAACCCATATAGGTAGTGACTTAACAGTTGTCCGAGTACAGGACTAGCCCAAGTGGAAGACACTAACCGTCCAATCGGTACAGACCGATCAAAGCCTGATATGCGAGAAGTGGCCCTTAATTCTCCGGTCTCCCCCAGTGCCCTAGCGCGGTAAATCAAAATTGCGATTTTACTACCAAATTCAGCAAATGTAATGTTGTTCTTTTTAGGCAGTCTAATCAAAATCTAGCGTAGCTCACTTGGTATTCCTGTGCAGCGCAGAGCGGTAGTAAGAAGAAAACACGTTAACACTTCGTGTAAACTGCAACACGAACCCTTGCTGAAAAAAACTAAAGTATACATCCTAATCCTAATGTAAATAAAGTAAAAATTTTCAGTTGGGTTGTCACATTGTTCTGAGTTGGCCTATGCTGTCAGCCCATGCCCATATTTTGTCAAGGCCCATGCGGCATGAAATGGTATAGTGAAGTGAGGTGAAGACTTGCGGCCCAAAATCAGAGAATGACTGCATGGGGCTGTGATTTGAGCTTTTTTAGCAGATGATACCTTACAAACTTAAACTTACTTACACTTAACATACATATAACT